TGTTACACGACAGGCACTTGTTGGACCTGTCTAATTACCCAATGGGACACTTCTGTCACGATTCGACCAACAAAATCATTTTAAATATAAGCAAGAACATCGGAGAGTTTGTAGGACTTCCCACGAAAATATAGTTTTAATTTCAGTGAAATTTTCACGATTGGAAACCTAGGAATCATTTACCATTTCGTCCGTAGAAAAGGAAGTGGCCAAAAGTCTTTGCCAAATCTACCATTAAGCGTGACTTGCGTCACGAGATGTATAACGAATGCCTTTTTGGCAAACAAAACAAAATGTGCGAACTGCACACCATAAGGACTAAAAGACACCAGTTTTACGTGTATTACCTCAACAAATCTGGGTTGTGTACATTTGACGACAAGCGATGGACCCTGCCAGATCTCTGTGATGGGTATGCGTTCGGTCATTACAAAACAAAGACAACATTGTAAAACTTACACCTGTTTAATGTAAATTATATATATATATTAACAATTTCGCCATTCAATTACAGTAAATATGATCTGAATGATATTATTTAAATTACAATTTGACATAGTTCATTACTGATTTCAATCGTTGTTAAATGTATCAATTTAGTTATTCAAACAAAACTTTATGTAATTTATTTCATGATAATGAAAGTTTTGTTGTAATTTATAAAAGTTTTCAATAGCTATAGAACAAAGATTCAGTTTTACTTGTACGGAACGGAAGGATACTTTACATTTGGTATTTCTAATAATAAAGATTATGTATATTTGACACAATACTAACAGTTTAATAATTAAGTTTGATAAACACATGTTAGGAATAAAAGATATAAGAAAGACCTCTTTTATTTTCTTTCAAGAAGTATTGTGACGGTATTGAAATAATCGTAATTTAAAAAAAAAATCAAAAACAATCAAACAACAATTTAAAACAGGTAAATCAACTACTTAATATTTAATAATCGGCAAATCTATACAATCATTATACATTATCAAGTATGTTAATACTTAAACAACAAAAATATCTAAACTAACAAAAGTAAAACAGATATTGGCACATGGTGTAAACATATGTAGAGTTTGATTAAAATGCTGTTTTGATAATATTTATATTGGTTTGTATTTTGTTGCTTGTGTGGTATCGATTTTAAAACCAAAACCAAGAATGCATGGTAATGGGCTTTATAATTTATAGAAAATGTGAGGGAAAAGTTACCTTAGTAATGACACTTATCCGATTCAGGTATCGATACTAAACTTGTTACTTAATATTTGCTTTAGGTATTTGTTGGGGACTCGTTTGCTTCTAATCATATACTAGTTTGTAAATGATCCACCCTACAAATACCTCATGGATTACACTGAGAGTTGATAAATCTCAACAACAATAAACATATAATAAGTTAGACTCTAGAATCTTGGTACAGCATGTGTAGGTATCAGTTTAACCACAATAGCATCTAATTCCTGTTCGGATTGCTTTAGGAGAAATTTTACAGTAAAGTGGTTTAAAATAAAGGACTTCCAATTTCACTTTTTTACTGGTTGTACAATTTCAATCGGTGAAAATACGATCACTGCACAATTACAAACGAAAGTAAAAATTTAAAAAAAATGTGGCTGTATTTGGTTTTGTGTTAGCAAACTAAACGTGTTTATTGAAATATCATAAATATCCTTTTGGAGTCTAGGCGGATTCAATTTTCTCACTGGATTATCGGACATTATATATAGTCAATATTTAGCAATATTTGGACTATCAAGACATATATCAACATTCATGAAATATTAACGTCGTTACTTCAGTATCTAAATAAACATCATTTTGAACTCTTAACGGATTAATTTTTTCGCCTTTGAGATCAGCAGTTTATACAGACATAAGGATAAACTTGCTATGGCAGACGTTATTACTTAATGGACTAGTAAAGAAAGAATTATACAAAAGATATTAAACGAAATTGTTACAACCTGTACTTCACAGGTTAACAAAGGTAAGATATTAAATTGTTACAATCTTTTCTCCACATGTTAACAAAGGTAAGATATCAAATTGTTACAACCTTTACTTCACAGGATAACGAAGGTAAGTTATTAAATTGTTTCAACCTTTCCTCCACAGGATAACAAAGGTAAGTTATCAAATTGTTACAATCTTTCCTCCACAGGTTAACAAAAGTAAGTTATCAAATTGTTACAACATTTACTCCACGGGATAACAAAGGAAAGTTATTAAATTGTTACAACCTTTCCTCCACAGGTTAACAAAGGTAAGTTAACAAAGGTAAGATATTAAATTGTCACAACCTTTCCTCCACAGGATAACAAAGGTGAGTTTACGAAGGTAAGTTATTAAATTGTTTCAACCTTTCCTCCACAGGATAACAAAGGTAAGTTATCAAAATGTTACAATCTTTCCTCCACAGGTTAACAAAGGTAAGTTATCAAATTGTTACAACCTTTCCTCCACAGGATAAAGGTAAGATATTAAATTGTTACAATCTTTCCTCCACAGGTTAACAAAGATAAGTTATTAAATTGTTACAACCTTTCCTCCACAGGTTAACAAAGGTAAGTTATCAAATTGTTACAACCTTTCCTCCACAGGATAACAAAGGTAAGTTAACAAAGGTAAGTTATTAAATTGTTACAACCTTTCCTCCACAGGTTAACAAAGGTAAGTTATCAAATTGTTACAACCTTTCCTCCACAGATTAACAAAGGTAAGTTATCAAATTGTTACAACCTTTCCTCCACAGGATAACAAAGGTAAGTTTACGAAGGTAAGATATTAAATTGTTACAACCTTTCCTCCACAGGATAACAAAGGTAAGTTATCAAATTGTTACAATCTTTCCTCCACAGGTTAACAAAGGTAAGTTATCAAATTGTTACAATCTTTACTCCACAGGTTAACAAAGGTAAGTTATCAAATTGTTACAATCTTTCCTCCACAGGTTAACAAAGGTAAGTTATCAAATTGTTACAACATTTACTCCACGGGATAACAAAGGTAAGTTATCAAATTGTTACAACATTTACTCCACGGGATAACAAAGGTAAGTTATCAAATTGTTACAACATTTACTCCACGGGATAACAAAGGTAAGTTATCAAATTGTTACAACATTTACTCCACAGGTTAACAAAGGTAAGTTATCAAATTGTCCACAGGATAACAAAGGTAAGTTATCAAATTGTTACAATCTTTCCTCCACAGGTTAACAAAAGTAAGTTATCAAATTGTTACAACATTTACTCCACAGGATAACAAAGGTAAGTTATTAAATTGTTAGAACCTTTAGAATATAATATTTATGACCTACATTCGAAAGTAAAAAAAACTTTACCACAATGAAAACATAAATGTTTCACAAAGTGTGTATAAAATTAGCACAGGCCTCATGCAGTACAGATTTAATGTAACACTTTGGCTGGGGCGTAGCCTTTCACACATCTTGTTTATTTCTGTTCTCACACTTTTTAAAGAATAATTGTGTATCGATAGGATGTATGGGAATAGATTAGTGTCAATAGGAAGCGTTAGAAAGTGGTTTTGAGGAGTGTTACGGATACTCTCACACAAGTTTCATGTTCGTAAAGACACTACACGGTTGAATGAAACTTCTTTATAACATTACCATGTCCAGGACAACATGACGTCATGCAAATAATGTAGATTTGTGTCGTTTACAATTAACGGCATTTTACTTGTTGGTGTTTACCAAGTCTAAGTTTAGAGAATATTCTGTGATAATGTTTTCCTACACTCTGATCGCGGACAGAATCACGGATGCATGACGTTTAGAATAAGAACAGATCAAAATATTGTATAAGACTGTATAAGAAGGCATCTATTCACTAGATTGAAGGTGGTAGATCCTGCTGGTGATCTTTTAAACTTCGAGGTTCATAGAATTAAAAGTCAAAGGCGTATACAAAAATAACAGTGAGAAAGATGAGAATAATAAACATTTACATAAGTCTAACAGATCGAGACCAATAGTAAAATCTGAGACTGCTAGAATCTAAACTACAAACCCGTACTCTATATAACCTTAAGTGAATAAGGTAACACAAGGTAAATAAACACGACAACAATTCCTTCATAACAAGAATGTAAAGAAATAAGGAAGGTAAGCACTCATTTATGATAACATCGGCAAGGGAAGGGGTATAACTCTGTAATTTTTAATTCGTTATATTCTTATTTTGTATAAATCTCATGCAAAATATCTAAAGATTGTCATACTGTACCTTTCATCATTATGTTATAAGAAAATATGCCACAATGATTTTTTGATTATGTAATGTTCACAAACAGAGAGGTTAGGTTGAAGTAATATTGGTTAGTTGGTTACTTAATTTTCATTATGTGATATACTGACATAACATTTAACAAAACTGTCGATCAAAGAGAGAATAGACTGACGGTACACTTTTCCTTCTTTCCTTCTTTCTTTTTTTTTTTATCGATTTATAAATTATAGATGGTTAGAATAAATGATCGCATTGCATTTTCAATTGGGTTTTATGTGCGTACAAAAATACTTCTGATTGTCATGCATGATATTTTTGTGTCGAGGGAATTTGTTGAACCATAATGAAATAATATCCAAAACCTTGGGATGAAAACATTTCGTTAATTGAAATATCAAGTCATAAATATAAATATCTTTTTTACGATACTTATCTACATTGTTTAGGTTATCTGCTGACGTGTAACTAGCTATAGCTGAAAAATTAACGGGGAAAATGTAACAACAATTTCGGACGAGTATCATAAATGCTTGCCTAAACAAAAATACCTTTTTCACATTTGAGACAATGTGTGAGAACACTGAATCATTTAACTCTATTCACAATTAACACCATGTTGGAAATGAGAAATCGGTAACCAGAGTTTCTAAGAGTTCAAAATAAAGTTATTTGTTACTTTATTCATAAACTTTTTGCGATCAAAAACGGTTACATCAAAATCATGCTTATACTACTTATTTCAAAAATTCAGTTTGAATTTTCAAATTCCTCTTTGGCTTTTTCATCAAGAAAATCCTCATCTTCAGTGTAGCCAACTTTGACAATATCGGGTTCTGCATCGTATGTCTTGCCATAGTTACGCACGATGTATTTTGTTATGAGCAAACCTAGTAGGTACAATACTACGACAATAATGATCTCTATTAGAAAAAGGTAGCAGTACCAGACTGCGTCATTCTCCATCAAAACACCCAAAAGCACCGGATTTAATGCACAGCCCAATGTCGCTGCAACGAAGTAAAAAGCAGATATCTTGCCAGTCATTGGAGCGATATATTCATTGGACCAACTAAACAACAAAGCAAAGAGGCAAGACTTTGCAAACCCATACAACGGTGAAAAAAGCCAAAGGGCAGTATCAAAATTATACAAGGATACAATTAAAAGTCCTAAAATTGAAATGAACATAATTATGAAATTGATTCCAATAATAACCAACGTATCTATCCACTTTTCAAAAATAACTGTTAGTAGTCGAGCAACAAGGATGCATATGAACACTAACGATGTCAAAAACGCCCCTTGTTGTTTTGACCAATGAAATTGTTCCACGCAAAAGGTAGATAGGAAGGCAGTGTATGCTTCATCGATTCCACAGTAACAGAAAAACAGGAAGCCTATCACAGATATTGTGGTATATTTGATAGTAGTTGGTAGTTTCCTAGCTTTCCTTGTTTTGCATGCTTTTTTGGCAGGGCGAATCTTTTCCGTTGAATAACATACGTACGATATCAGGAACATGATACACGCTATGAGTGAAAGACCTGCACTTATAGAAAATGGAACATATATTCCTGATTTAGATTCAAATAAACTTTCTAGAAAATTCAAATCTGACATGTTTACTCTGCCTTTCGTTAGATACGAACGATTTAACATGTTCATGTTTATTCTACGTGAAGATGTAGAAAGAGAATTATTTATTCTGTAAGTTTCAATTTTCATTGCATATGAGAACTGATGGTCCCTTGATGTGTTAGAAATGTTCTGTATGACCTCGGTCAGGTACGAACCATTTGTAGTCCTGGTTAGTATATTCTCATCCCGAGGTTGGTCCATTAGGAATGGTGCTACCACGAGGGGGGCCAAAACACTCCCTAGGGCGAATACCAAATTAAGTCGGAGAATTGCTTCACGTCCCTTCTTCTGCCAAATCCGCAAAATTTCTGTATTTCCACCTAACAACATTGAATAAGATTGAGTAAGAATGCAATTTTTAACGATTTGTCTCAATTAACGTTTTCAGAGAAACCCTTGACTTCGATTTTGTCGCGCTTCTTGCCGCTATCATATAAAATTGATAAGAACTTAAAACACCGAATTCAACAACTGTGATTCATTGATCAATCGTTACATAGACATTTTACAGCTGTCTTATATACAAACTAAGATATGAAGCGTTTTAATGTATTTGTCTATCATCTATATTTCATGTTAGGTATTTGATATTATATTTTTATGTAAAGTGGATAAAAAACCTCATTAAAATAATTCATTACTGTCTTTTTTACACATGTAAACTTAATACACAGCAATATATATCAATTCGTTTCTATTTTTAAGCATAAATACTGAAGTACATTTCAATTGCTGCATCAAAAAACGTTAAGACATTAAAAATAAAACTGCAACAAGTTTGTATTTATATTATATTTGATATGTATATGACTTACCGGTGTCCAGGATCCCCTGAAGTGATCCTATCATTATATAACCACTCAGCATGGCTTCAAATAGTGAACACCACGGAATTCCAGCTATGACGATCGACCATATGAACAAGCATACGCTGTACATCAACTTCCGGTTAACGCGGTCATGTAGAAATCCCTGAAGCACAGAGCCAATTGAATAACCAACAAAAAAGGACGTTAGAATCCAGGAGCCCTGCTCCAGGTCGGTATTACTTATGAAGCGTAAGTCGATGTATGCCGGGCCAAACTGACCCTTTCCCCATCCCTGGAACAGCGGAAATATTGAATGTTGATTAGCAACGAGTCAAAACCAGTTTCATATGTTATATAATGAGACAGTATAATGTTTTCCACACGATCCATTTGATATTGTACAAAAGAAAAAATGAATAGCATCCTTTCAACACATGCTTACAGTTACATAGCCAATTCAGACTTTCTGTGTCGTCTTTCTAGGACTCGCTGAAATGATTAAACCCAGGACGTGACTGGGTACAATCCAAATTTATCAAAATGAAGTTAGTAAAAGAAATTAATGAAATAAATAAAAAAAATAAGAGAACAGATAGGGACGCTTATCTATAAAAATTCAATTTCATTTCATAGTTTCCAACATTAAATGAGATTTAAACGGAACGTCATTTACTTTTGTGTATCATTGACATTGCCACTATTCGGAACAGAACCTTCCACGCATGTTGCATCTCACCCGGGGGTCTGAAAGTCTCTAAGTTATTCTAACACCACCAAATTCAAAGATATATAACGCATTGTGATTTCGACGTTGAGACAACTGATAACTGCTAAATCAGGTATTTTCGTGGATATTAATGACTAAATTATGACTATTATTGTACTAAAGTTCGTATCAATATTTATCTGGTTACCAAGTCGTCGACATGAATACGCTGATAAAAAGTAACAAGAATTTCATGAAAATTTAGCTCCCATTATGTTGACGATTCACAGTGATCGGAATTGGATACATCAATGATATGACATTAAAGACAATTAACATAACTATATTTTACATCACATTAATATCTACATATTCCATTGTATAGCTTATGTCACGTGACTACGGTCTGTATTTTTTACCAGGCAGTGTGAGGTTGTAGACGGTAATATATGGCCCCCATATCATAATGGTATTGTTCGCTTCAAGATTTTGAACGCTCGAAGTAAGCATTACTCGTTGCAAATATCTCGATATTTACACTTTGTCATATGTTCCAGACTGCCACCTTGAGGTTTAGGTATAGCCTAACTACTACTCAGACACTGAACACAATTAGGTTTGTTTGTTGGCTGGTTTACTGGGTTTATCGCCCTTTGAACAACCATGATCATTTTGAGGCGCTATTTCATTGTTGTAGCTGGTGGCTACCTCACTGAACAAAATACGAGAGGCCCGTTGCATTCTGTCATGTCAGCACAGCCATATGAGCAAAGTGTCACAACCACGAAGAAAGACCGGTCCGTTTCACAAGGTCCTTAGAAACATGAACGGGTTAAACCACACACCTCGGATCTACAGCTGAGGTTGTATAGAACGCTACCGACTGCGCTATAGCAGTTCCCTATCGAACTTAGGGTGATAATTTAGATTTACTTACTATGATAAAAAATGTTGTAAATATACAAGAAGAGTAGACAACTTTATCCTGGTAAATTACATCCGTCCGGAATTTATGAACGGATCTGGAACAGGATTTTACACACTTCCATCTTTCACTGTCGTTTGATTTATTGTCAGTACCATCAACTTCCGGTAGATTTTGTTCGTTTCCGTTCATGGTTGTTGAAAAATTGTCTGCTTTCTCAAACGTACCGTCCATTTTCATCATCTATTGGTTAGAGAATTAAAGAATAAATTATTCACAAACAAGAAAATGATAATATTTTAACCATTCCTGTTATAAAGGCAGTTTCACAAAAATCTTGTATAATAATGTTTATGTACTCCCATGTAATATGACACTGTATTTAAATACCTGATTAATCAGTTAGATAACACTTATTCAGTACATTGTACACAATGGGTTATCAATGTGACCTTAAAGTACTTGATCTTGGTACCTATCACTGTTGTAACATGCATGTCACTTAACGATTTGTTGAGAAGATCATGGTCACTTATACACTTGTCTTAACCTGTGAAATCGTTTCGTGATTCATATCCGTCTGGTTAGTTACTATACACAGAATATAAGTTCTCATATAGCAAGCAGTAAGAACATCATGTGTCGCATGCTCGTTAGTTTGCTTGTTGGTTCTGTTGTTGCATACCTTGTTCTCATTTGAGAACGTAGTACTTGGATTGACCACGGTTTACATGGCGGGTGTCTTCGATGAAGCAGAAGACGGTTACTTCTCCGGAACTTTTGGTCTTATTCTCCTTGTACTTTTATAGGAGTCTCCGTATAAATCTTCTTTTGTTCATATTTTGCCCTAGTGTTATGGAAATTGAGTTTGAATTATGATTATGTTGCCGTATTGGTGTTTTCTGGACGTTTTTCGCTCTGATTGTGTTATAAGAATTAATTTCATATTATAAACACTTACTTAGTTACCCTAAGACCTCTTTAAATTGTCAACACGAACAGTTATCTGGCTTTATAATGAGGGTATGGCGATATAGTGTAGGTGACTTATAAACCTGAGGCAAAAGGAATTAGTGGCCAGTGAAATTTATGTAGGCAGTGAAGGGGGGAGGCGAAGGAACGGTCACGAAATTGTATTATCTCTCCATCTTATAATGCATGAATTCTGTCTATCGACCGCTATCAAAAACATAAATAAAATCACGGATACAATGTAGATAGCCAGAAAATCGGGCAATGCATTTTCTGTTTTTGTTTGTTTCATTATAAAGAAAATAGGTGTATAATACTTAAGGCATGTATACATATATCTATATATTGTCGGGTTACGACTTCGATCAAAGTTCCCTTAAAATAGTTGATATTGTAAACACATAGCGATTCTGTATTATCTATGAGTTGCCTCCCTTCCCACAAAATTTGTATCGAGTCTGAACCCATCCAATGGTATTATCCGAGGTGTTTATTGGACTTGATAGCACTAGTCCCATCAGTCTCATGGTCTGTTATTATCTTGCCGATATTTTTTTCGCTAACAGCATTTTAAGCTTGTTAATCAAACTCCTTTGACAACACTGTTGCAGTTTTTTTAAAATCTCAACCTTCGCCATATCCAGGTATAAAACCACACGGGTTTATCAATATCTTAGTCCATTATAGTATGTACATGCTGTAAAGTCATTTATTTTCGTGGGGGATCTATTCTCATGATTTCGTTGTAGTCTTAATCCACGATTGGATGTATTCACGAACTGTAATAAATATAAGTAGACTAATTGAGATAAATTTATCCACAAAATTAAATGCACACCAAAGGATATTTTCAAAACACACGAATTGTGCCCCACGGAAATAGTACTTTATCCCCGGGGTTTTCGTTTTATTGTCGTCTCTCGAAATTGTTCCGTAGATTTACGACTGTGTAAAATACCTTCAGGAAAATAGGAGTGTCAAAACTTAGGTCAAGCATCCCCAGATACACGTTATGTCGGGTTTCTGGGACCTGTGGTTGTTTACACCGAAGTTGAACTATTATTGAGACTGTCTATCACATATAATACTCATTGAATTCTGCACATACACACTTCTTATTCTGTGGCGCTTGCTACATAACAAGATATAATTGACATGAATTCTTGTGTAGACCTAAAGATGTACTTTTTCTAATCTAGACTATGTAAGTGTTTTTGAGGGGAAAGAGCGGTATTTTTCACAAAGTTAACGAATATTTTGTAAGATATTTTAAAGTTAAAATTTCAACGTACTCACCAACGCTTTACATGACAGTGTCCGTAATGACTACTTGTAACGGTCGTAGATATAGCTTATCTGGCACAAGGCCACGCACGTAATCGTAATGAACGAAGTAGGTCATTGATCAAGGTCAAACACCGATTAGCTAAAACCGTCCATGTATATAACCGCTGTTCGATGACATATCGTCCACTACCGGTCAGCTGATAGATAGGATTTTATTCAACAAGTATTTAACCGCTTCTTACATCAATACGTACATTTATCTCGGTCGTCAGTATCAAAATCATCAGGTCACTGTATTTAAACAATGGCGGAAATAAAGCTGAGTTACACGGCATTTATACCACCACACTAACCACATCCTCGGTACTCCAGGGGTAACAATCGCTTACGCTTCCTGCACCCCGGGAACATGTCCTCGATACTCCAGGGGTAACAATCACTATCACTCTCTATACCCCCGGTACCATCCTCGATACTCCAGGGGTAACAATCATTTTCGCTCCCTGCGACCCGGGAACATGTTCTCGATACTCTAGGGGTAACAGTCATTTTCGCTCCCTGCGAACCTTGAACATGTCTTCGATACTCCAGGGGTAACAGTCATGTTCGCTCCCTGCACCCCGGGAACATGTCCTCGATACTCCAGGGGTAACAATAATTTTCGCTCCCTGCGACCCGGGAACATGTTTTCGATACTCCAAGGGTAACAGTCATTTTCGCTCCCTGCGACCCGGAAACATGTCCTCGATACTCCAGGGGTAACAATAATTTTCGCTCCCTGCGACCCGGGAACATGTCCTCGATACTCCAAGGGTAACAGTCATTTTCGCTCCCTGCGACCCGGGAACATGTCCTCGATACTTATGGGTAACAATCATTTCACTCCCTGCACCTGGGAACATATCCTCGATACTCCTGGTGTAAAAAATGAAACTTGATACAGTTAATAAGATAAAAATATATTTCAAACTTATAATTACTGAAGTACTTCACGGCATTCCAGGAACTTATCCCTATGAGAAATGACTTACGAATGTCTTTATTTGGTAAATTGTAAGTTAGAGTCCTCTCAATTCGTTTGACAGGAAATGTTTCTACATTGTTGTAGAATGCCATAGATTATTTACAATAAAAAAACATAACTATTTGTAATGGGATAGGATAGGCTTCGTATGTCTGCATACGTGTAAGGCCGTTACATCGTCAATACAAGTTAGTGAGTCGCCCATATGTGAAACATTTTTTTACAAAGAGGGCGTAATTGCCACTGTGTCACTTTCTATGAGTCAGTCGCAAGGAATTTTTGTTGTGATCTGATATTGCTAGCAGTATTTTATGTGTTTCTTGTTCTTTTTATACAGATTAATCAAAGAATATTTAACATACTATAAAACTGAAACTAATGGTGTATATTATCGCTTTTTAGAGCACTGTAAACGACGTCATTGAGTTCTATGGTAATATAACGGAATGTTCGTGAACTTCTAATTCGAAGAATCATCAAAAGTGCCGATAGAATTGAATATTGGAAACCGCCGAACTAGAAAACAGGTTTACAAAACATAACAATGGCAACCGGATATGTTTGTTTGCGGTCACAGTTATACAAAATCTGTAGGCAAAGTGTACGCAGGAGAAAAATAAAACACAGAGGGTTATTCGAATGTATCACAACCTCTAACAGACGCACACACTCAACACAGCACTCTAATAGCTTGCATTAAATGATTATAGCTGGTGATAGAAAACGACATGATATAGAACCAAACCAAACCCAGCAATGTAACATTGTAGCATTGTTTTCTGGAGGATTATCGAACAACACCTAAATGATTCTGATATTGTATTCGTCTGTTTTGTTTATCTATCACATTTCATTCGTTTTCTTTCGTAGTTTCCTTCACTTTTCATCCAGTTGGTCATTTTTTTCATATGTTTTGATTAATGTAGCCCTCCTTGACGTCTTATTTCTTTGTGCGATATGAAGCTGGATGTGTTTGATGCTCATCAATTTGCCTGTTGGTTCCGTTGTACGAGGGAGCTGGACGTGTTTGATGCTCGTCAATTTGCCTGTTGGTTCCGTTGTACGATATGAAGCTGGATGTGTTTGATGCTCATCAATTTGCCTGTTGGTTCCGTTGTACGATATGAAGCTGGACGTGTTTGATGCTCATTTGACTGTTGGTTCCGTTTTACGATATGAAGCTGGACGTGTTTGATGCTCATTTGCCTGTTGATTCCGTTTTACGATATGAAGCTGGACGTGTTTGATGCTCATCAATTTGCCTGTTGGTTCCGTTGTACGATATGAAGCTGGACGTGTTTGATGCTCATCAATTTGCCTGTTGGTTCCGTTGTACGATAAGAAGCTGGACGTGTTTGATGCTCGTTACCTTGTCTTTTGGCTCCGTTGTGTGATATGAAGCTGGACGTGTTTGATGCTCGTTAATTTGCCTGTTGGTTCCGTTGTACGATATGAAGCTGGACGTGTTTGATGCTCATTTGACTGTTGGTTCCGTTGTACGATATGAAGCTGGAAGTGTTTGATGCTCATCAATTTGCCTGTTGGTTCCGTTATGAAGCTGGACGTGTTTGATGCTCATTTGCCTGTTGGTTCCGTTGTACGATATGAAGCTGGACGTGTTTGATGCTCGTTACCTTGTTTTTTAGTTCCGTTTTACGATATGAAGCTGGACGTGTTTGATGCTCATTTGCCTGTTGGTTCCGTTTTACGATATGAAGCTGGACGTGTTTGATGCTCATCAATTTGCCTGTTGGTTCCGTTTTACGATATGAAGCTGGACGTGTTTGATGCTCGTTTGCCTGTTGGTTCCGTTGTACGATATGAAACTGAGCGTGTTTGATGCTCGTTAGCCTGTTGGTTCCGTTGAACGATATGAAGCTGGACGTGTTTGATGCTAGTTACCTTGCCTTTTGGTTCCGTTGTACGATGGCGCTGTACGTGTTTGATGCTC